TGTGTTACTATCACCTGAAATCGAAGGCATTCTTAATTTAGTAAACATAACAATTACTGGAAAATTACGACACTTGATCATGTTGGAAAATAATGCAATGACATCTATCTGCATTCATTATGGAAGCTTACCTTTGTGTTTATTTTAGCACGTGAAAATATAGGAGCCACAGTTTCCCACGTCTTTCGCCCATTTCCTTTCCCACTCAATGGATGAACAAATACCTTATTGAAAGAGAAAAGAGAGAGAAAGATGTTTCCCTTAAACTCTCTTCAATTTGTTACAAGAGCTACATCTTGAAAAAAAAGTTTCACAAAACTATAGAGGCTGTCTACCAGAAGATTCTTTGGTCTTCCAACTTCCTTATCTAGAGAACCATTAATTTTATTCACCCAAAAGTTGACAGGTCTGCAAGTCCTTGTGACCAAACATGTACGCCGTCAAGATCCAAAGGCAAGGATGAGACTTTGACTTTTGAAAAGTGTGCACTATAAAGTTATTCATCTGCACCAGTAGGGAAGATTAATCACTGCAAATTTTATCATTCAATGAAACGGGAACAAAGAAGAACAGAAATTATAACAAACCCCAGAATCATGAGCGTCATTCCCCAAGAAACATTCTGTAGCCGTTGTGAGGTCCGATTCTTGAATCACGTTACCGTTCATTAACTCCACGGCATAGATATCAGGGAATGTTAACTTTGTAGCCATTTTAGTTGCCATTCTAGGAAGAAATTTAATTCCCAAACATGTTGATCCATCCTGTTCCAGTAAACATGAAGAATCCATCAGAAGCCAACTATGGCACCATATTCTTTACGGGTAAAACAAAGCTCAATGAAGCGGAAAACAATGGAGGATCCTTGGATTGATCAAAATGTATTGAAACAACCTGTTTTAAATCATAATGTATCAAGTATCATATATTTGATCAAAACATACATCTCTTAAACCATAACTAGATGTAATCTCTCAATAATCAAAGGGTATCTCAGCTCATACACTTCAAGAATGGAAAGACAGAGAGACAAAAGATCTCCAAAATAAGTACAAAATGAATTAACTTAAGAAAACACACAAACACACACAAAATGATGGGGTTACGTTCAAATGAACAGGAAAACAAAATTATACAACAGTAACAAAAAAAAGAAAAAAGAAGAGGGTATGATAATAAGGAAAAAGAATCAAAATTTGATGTTAGTTCGTTAATTCGTGTACATGAAAATATACAAGATGAAAAGAAAGAAAGAACTCACATTATCCAAGGAATCAAGCGATTTCCAAGATAACCCATCTGAATCAAAAGTAAGAGTAACCTCTCCAACGTGAACCAAGAACAAATTCGAACTCAAAAAGGATATTTCACCTTCAACCTGGGATTTATTCCCAGAATTACAAAGACCTCCATTTATTTCCATTTAATTGAATTAACAAGCATCAGTACACAAATTATACAGTTAAAAAAATGTAAACTTTGAGATGAAAAAATCACCCGATTTTTGTTCAAAAATTGAGTCAATTTAAAGCACTAAACCAAGGTTCATGCTAAGAAGATACAATATAGAGGCAAGAATATAGGAGAAGACTTGTATTGACATTTACTTTTATAAGGTCCGAATCGAGAGATCGGGTCAACTGCATTCGGGTTTGGACTGCCCTCAACCCGACTTACTATTCGAGGAAAGAGGCCTTGGAGCCGTTGAAATTAGGCGCTTTTTGTGTTTCTTTTTCATGTGTATCGTATTTTCTTCATGTTTTCAATCAGATTTCATTTAAAATTCCTTGTTTCAAGGAATGGAACAGAGGGCGAGGAGAGTTTTGACATTAAAAGAAACAATCCCCAATCATCTTTTTTGTGCAAAATTCTTCATTTATTAGCTTCACACTGTCTGATTTTACAAATACTTTGCATGAATATTCATGGTAAATATACAACAACAGATGTGAATCTCTCTGGATATACGCGGCCAAATTGCAATGAATCTCTCTGGATTATTCTTGTACTCTCTACTATTGAACATTATCCGGACACCTTACGACACCAATGTCGTCGGATTAACATGAAATCAGAGTCATTCTAGATCATCGCCGACCATCCTGAAGATGCTATCTCCGTTTTCATCTTTATTTCACTGATCGTCGCCTTCATCTGTTTCAATGAAAGTTTATCATTTATTTCCCTTCGTTTACTGAGGTGGTGATAAATTAGCATATACTCTATTTACTAAAGGTTGTGGTAAAGGTGAATCATTTTGAACCCCCCGTATCTGTAGAGAAGATAAATTGATACCATCTACAATGTTCTTCATGTTTAGTCAATTTCTCCTGCCATGTTTCTAGTATGAGTTCTCATTCTTAACTTACTGGAATTAAGGCTTGAGTATTGCTGTTGACTATGTGGTAATGCTACTGGTACAATGCATACTTGTTAACAACTACTTTCGACTATGTGGTTAATACCAGTAATACTAGTTTCTGGTTGAATTTCTCAATATTTAAAGTTGAAATTCTGATGGAGTTCGATCACACATCAAAATATATATTTGAGTTCAGCTCGAGATACAATTAACGTACTTAAATTCGAGTTCGATCATTATTTTTTATTCAATTCAGTTATTGAAGCTCGATTAAAGTCTTTTATATTTAAGCTCGGGCTCGAGTCGTGTCTTTTGCATATAAAATAATAGTATTTATATAATTTAATAATATAAAATATTAAAAATGTGCATTAACAAAAAGTTGAATTAGACTTGTGCACAGAATAGTGTTTGGTTCGGGGAATGTGGGATTATCGGGGAATGAAATCCACATTTTCCCGTTTGGTTGGCCGGTAATCTCATTCTCAGTAATGTTTTATTACCAACGGTAGATTTTTTGGGTATATTACCAGGAATATCATTACCCCATCCCCTTAGGTATTGTTGGATCACCGGCGTTTTGAACTAAAATACCCTTAATTTTTTTTCCAAAAATATCCTTCTTCTGTCATTAAATAATAAAAATTTTACGAAGGTTAAATTACAAATTTATCCTTAAACTATTTAAGATTTACAAAAAAAATCTATAATTAAAATTTTATATGAAGTTCAGGAGTTAAAATAAAATTTTATCTTTCATTAAATCTTTTTATATTTTCAATTTTGTAAAAAAAAATTATATAAATTTTAGGGTAAAGTATAGTAATGGTCACTGAACATTTCTGAAGCTTGCATTTAGGTCCCCTAACTTTTAAAACTTGCAATATAGTCCCCCAACATTTATTCCATTTGCAATATGGTCCCCCAACTTAAACTGTTGTTAGAAAATTAGGGTAAATAATATAAACGGTCATTGAACTTTTCAGACACTTGAATTTAGGTCTCCTAACTTTTAAAACTTGCAAAACAACCCTCAATTTCATTCTAAACCCCAATTTCCAAAGTAATTCAAATTCATTCTAAACCCTAAATTCCAAAATAATTCAATTAAATTTTAAACCCCAAATTCTAAAATACTTCAATTTAAGGTTTAGAATGTAATTGAATTATTTTGGAATTTAGGGTTTAGAATAAAATTAAGGTGTTTTGAAATTTTGAACATGAATTTACTATTTGAAAATATTTATTTCAACATAAATTTGAGGTTTATTTAACTGTTTATATCAATTTTGAATAACAATATGTATTGATTAAACATCCCGAATAGCAAAATGTAAGCACTCTATTCGGTATTTCAACTTCCCATAAACTCTGCTCATTTCTTCAACTTTTGACTATATGAAATTCGGAACACTCATTTGGAGCATTATAATTTAAGTACCACTATGTTCTTGCATGCTATTTTTTTATCAGATTTGAGTACCTAACCCTTCAGTGCTTTACAGTGCGATCATTTATGATTCACATGAATTTGCTTATACAGTGATCATTTATGATTTAGTAGAATCAATGGTTTAGAATGAAATTGAATTACTTTGGAAATTAGGGTTTAGAATAAAATTGAGTACTATTTTGCAAGTTTTAAAAGTTGGGAGACCTAAATTCAAGTGCCTGAAAGTCAATGGACCGTTTATATAATTTACCCTAATTTTCTAACAGTAGTTTAAGTTGGGGGACCATATTGCAAATGGAATTAATGTTAGGGGACTGTATTGTAAGTTTTAAAAGTTGAGGGACCTTAATGCAAGCTTCAGAAATGTTCAGTGACCATTACTATACTTTACCCTAAATTTTATGAATTTAAATTTTTTTAAAGAAAATATATAAATATCTTATAGTAATATTATAGAAATGACCATCCAGCTCAGTTGGTAGAGCACAAGGTTCTTAACCTTGAGGTCGTGAGATCGAGTCCCATGGAGGGCATTTCATAATTTGGAGGTCTCCTACGGAAGCTGCTCCCAACCTAATGTTGGGTTGGGAGCAGCCTACTATCTTACCTCCCCTTACCCCATTACATATGAGAACAAGGGACAACCTTATAGTAATATTATAGTAGAATTCAACTTGTTAATAAAACAAATATATAATAAAGATAATTTGATCAAATACACATTCCAATAATCTTTTATTCTTTTAACCAAATACAGTAATCTTATATTTCTGCTAAACCAACTAAACACAAAATACAACATTCCCAGTAATCTTATTCTCTGGTAATCTTTTATTCTCGATGGTAATCTTACATTCCGTGAACCAATCACACCCTTATAATAATTAAATTTGACTTGATCGATAATTTAAATTATTTGAATTCAAACTCGACGAACTATTTTCAAATTTAACTTGAATAATTTGTAAATAATATTATCCTGTTTCACTCCTACTTGTTACGTCGATTTGGAACATGTAACAAACCAATAAAATATCTTTTAGTGGAGCCAATTTAGGTTTTGTCAATTTTATTCGTATGATTTAAAGTTAAACTTTGCATGTATCGAGGTTTTTTTATATAGAGAGAGAGCGTCTAAAGTATTTTGAACATAAACGGGTTGAAATAGACCTTGAAAACCAACACTTCAGTTCAAAGCAGTCAGTCCCTTTGAGGTAATTTCATTTTCATCTCCAAATACAAACAAGTATCCACTAACGACTAAAATGTACAGGCACAAATGAAAGTGCTTTCCCAGATTTGACGGCCAACAAAAATTATCCACTACTGTAAACCAATCAACTTGATCAAATCTCGAACTTCATACCCGGAGACAATGTCTCGATCATCTCCAGACCGTCTCGTTACCATCCGTGAATATGGGATTGTGTTGTTCTATAAGGCTTTGAATAACCTCGATGGCACCGAAATCGACCGGCGTAGCATCATCTAAAGGAATGTGGGAGGAAGCATCCATATCTTCTCCCTCGTCTGTAGCCACAACAAAGAAAAAGTAAATCATAAAGTAACATTTTTCACTTAATTTTCCACTGTTTCCTATCCTGTGATTAAGAACTACCTTCCGTAAGTTGATACGTAATCCTATTTATAACTTTGTTAGGATTAGCTGCCCCTGACCTGGTTTGCATGAAAATACAATATACTGATATATGCATAGATTGTAGCTGATTGGAAAATTTACCAGCAAGCATGTCCCATGCACTAAAAGCAGGGGTTGGATCCATGGTACCATTGGAAGGACTTTTGGGTGGATGACTCCAGTATTTCCTATATGATTCTGGTTTCCGATCCTTCTGCCACATAATAACAGGGGATATTTCCATGGCAAGGCTTCGTGAATCCATCTGTTGGAAGATAAACAACAATAGAACACTGTTAATAGGTATTACTTGTCTATTAGATCACAATAAGCACATAATTGCAAGCCAACTGTTTGGAGGGAGGGAGGGGGTTTCATCTGAGAAACCAAGAAACTGTTTTATATATGTGTTTTTTGTTCACAATGATTAAAAAATGCTAACAATGACATCAAAGAAATAAATTATCCATGAAAAATCCATCAGAGATCTGATCATCAAGTTAGAATTAGCCCATCAGTTGTGCATAGGATAAACCAAAATATTGCTCAGTACAAGGTAAAATATTGAACTTAACAAGATTTAAACAACTTCCACGTTTAGAAATAAGCTTTTTATATCCAACCTTACTCAAAACCCCCTCATACAGGAAATGCATTGATGGCATGCCGAGAGAGTGATAGAACTCCCACCTTATTAAGGACCAATTTCTGGCTAACACGAAGCAGCAATGCAGTGATGAACTCGAGAGTCATGTAGTTTACGCTTGGAAGCTTCTTGAGTACATTTCTCATAGCATGAATGCTAGAACGGGCACCTTTGATCTCGTCATAAAGCTCAAAGGTAGTCAATGGCTCAGGAAGACTAGCAATGTAATATTTGGTTAGAGCTGCTACATCAATTGGATTCACACCCTCTGGTATGGAAGCATTAAAATCTGTGATATATGCATGACAACAAATTAAGATGCAATCCAAATAGAATAATTCATGGTCAAATTAAAGCAGATAACATGCAAGAGACCTTGGTTGTATGCAGTAACCAACTGCTCAATGACCTTCTTATCTCCTTCAGCTTTAAACAAGTATTGAGAATTTAGACCTAAAACAGTCAAAACAAATATTGTCAGCCGCTGGAAAAAAGATCTATACGGCAATAACATTAGCTAAATAAGGCCGATGATTTTCATCTGAGTCACCTGATAACACGAGATAATCTGCACATTTCACCAATATCAGAGGGATGGGCTTGCTGGCTTGCTGCCGTTGCACAGTAACCTCAATAGGTACTCCAAATACTGAAGAAGGAAAAAAAATAAGGGGCTAGCACTATGCACTACCGTAAATGTCCAAAAAGAGGGAAAGGAAATGACAAAGATCCCCAAAGATGTCACCATTTGGAGAATGCAGAGGCCAAGATAGAGAAACTTACCGTCAGTGCTGGCAACACCCTGCAAATGGAACACGCATTGTAAGAGTTCAGAATCTTGAAAGTGCAAGTAGCAAACAACAAAAGTAAAAGTAAAGCGCACAATCCTATACCTTCTGCCATCGTTCTATATCAGTCAAAATTATCTTGCTTTTCTGTGCCGTCTTTTTTTTGCCACCTGTAACAAAACATCATTACAATATATGTCATTTTTTTACCATAATATCTGTGAAGCCTAGGTTAGCCTAGTCTGCAAGAAAAGCAACAATAAACATCAATACCATGTTTAAGCTCACACATCATAAATACAAGACGAAAAGAATACAAAACCCATTAGTTACTTGAAAATTGAAAGTTTTGCAATAACAGAAGTGACGCCCAATGCAAAATCAAACAAGCAAGCAACACCCTTCCGTAGGGTACAAAAAGGATCTCTCTAGCATAATATAAAGTTTGGTAAGAACAGAAGCTCAACTTATCCAAGTAATGAACAGAGCGGACGGCAATCTACAAAGCAGGAAGTTGGACAGAAAAGAGACAGAGGCTAGAAAACAAACAATCCCAATCAAAAAACAAATGGCCAAGCAAGGAAGATTGCAATAGTAACAGTCATAGACAAGTGTTCCGCACGAAACAGGAGAACTCAAAATTTAAATAGTACTCCATCCATCCTCTCTCCAGATGTAATTAATACATTGAACAAGATATGGTAATGAGTAAGAATTGTTTAAAACAATCAAATTAAAATTATTTTCAGAGCTAAAATCTTTTACCTCCTCAACTTTTGTTTTCCCAACAACAACCTTGTCTTTAGTCCCGGTGATGCCTTTCCTCAGAAGGGTTCCAGTCGTTGCAGCCGCGCATATAAGACTCTCTTGCACAGCATGCCTGCCTCGTCGCGGGCTGCCGGAGAATCGTCCATCGGTTTTTGACCAAGGAACCAAATCGTTCCGCCACGTCAGAGACGTTGCCTTTGGCATCCTTGGCGACTTCTCCGACAAACGTTCCGGCTGTTTGGCTAGCTTCCTTCAGCTTCACCCCTGCAATCAAAATTCGGAAATTGAAAAAAGGCTAATGTTGCAACAACATAAAAAAATAAGATAAAAATAATAAAATGAAGAATTTATTGTAAAAGATACCTGAGAAAGAGAAAAAACCAGTCGCCTTCTCTTGCCACTGCTGCGACGCGGCTGAAGGCATCGATTCCGATTAACGAATACGAGAAAATAATCAATAACGAAATATCAACTGAAACAGCCAAACAAAGAGCAAAGATTTGAGAGTGAAGGGAAAATAAGCGAAGCTGAATCGATACATAATAATTTTTTGTAATCATCAAAATAAAAGATCGATACAGAACCCTAATTTTGACGGAAAACTAAAAATATAGAAATAGAACATCTACCTTTTGGTGTTAGCTTAAAGGATGCGAAGATCAAAGACGAACTTTCCTTTTTCTGAGAGTTGAATCGGCAGGTGATAGCGAAAGTCGAAAGTGGACTGCTACTTTTCTTTATTTGGCTGTTTCAAAATTATTTAGTTGTTGAGAATTACACTTAAATTTTAAAAGGTTAGGTCAGTTATTTCTTAAGTTTACGGTTTACAAATGAAAAAAATACACGTGGAAGTTGCTCAGAAATATCCGGATTTCTGGATGCTTCCAACGAGTATAACGGCTCTCCTCAGCAGCATCAACCAAATAGAAACATTTTTTTTGTCCCATATATATATATATTATATATATATATATATATATATATATATAGAGAATTAGGGATGTAGACGTATCCGAATCCGATAAATTTTGATTCGATTTTATTGGGTTAGATTTTTTTAATAAAAGTTTGAATTTGAGTTGGATCAAGTCAGATTTTTTAGAGGTTATTCTTAGGTAGAATCGGATCGAATTCGGGTATAAGATGAAAAATATATGATCCGACCCGATCCAAAAGAAATGTAATTTTACCTTATATGTTTAGTGATAATTGTGATAATATTCATCTATATATTATTCAATTAAGTTCATATTTTTTTGAATGAAAGTAATATTTTTTATAAATATATTATTTCAGGTCGGATCAGATTCAGATTTTATCTAAAAAAGACGGGTCAAATTTGAATAAGATGAAGAGCGTATATTTTTTAGGGTCGAGTTCGGATCGGGAGAAGGCATATAAATTTTGAATTGAGTCGGGTTGACTGAAAACCTAACATATGTACATCCCTATACATAAGGATGATCATGAGAAGGGTCATATTAGATTTTTTTATCTATTTGAATTCGAGTCAAAAATTAAATTCTTTTATCCTTATCTTATTCAAGTCTAGAAGGATTTTGTTTGATCTGAAATTTGATCCAAATTCTAAAGTCAAAACCTACACTCAATTTGCACCCTATATATATATGTTATATTATAAGATAATTATAATATTATCTCTTCTCATATTAGATTAATTTTTTTTATATATATTCAAACTCGATCGAATTCAAATTTGAATTAAATGAAAAATTAATTTGATCAATTCGAATCAAATTAAAATTTATCAAATTCGAGTAAATGTTGATCTCTACAAGTAGTTGCTATTAAGGAGGGGTGAGAGGCAAAAAAATACGTATCTACAACTACCGATTTATTTGTCATTGCAACGTTTTCTCATTGAATTATTATTGAATTTTAATAACTACTTTTTTAAGCTTATGTATTATATCTATTAAAAAAAGCTTTTGTATTATAAAGTACCATCATTATTGGACTTTATGGCTTGCAAAACAACTAGGGTTAGGTTAAGGTTGTTTTATTCCAAAATCAATTTTACTATTGATCGATTCGTGTCACAGTAGGAATTTATTTAATTTTAGATTGCTTATTGCTTAAAATTAATCCGGTTAATTTTATCTTTTTAATTAATAAAAAAATTGATTAAGGAGCTAAGTGGACCAATTATAGAAGTGTAATCAGTTTGATTTCATCAAGCCGTTTATACTGGGAATGTAAGATTACCAGTGGGAATAAAAGATTACCAGAGAATATGATTACTAGGAATATTACATTACTTTGTTTGGTTGGTTTGGCAGGAATGTAAGATTACAGTGTTTGGTTGAAAGAATAAAAGATTACTAGAATATATATTTTATCAAATTGTCCTTGTTCTATATTTATTTTTTTAACAAGTGAAATTCTAAATATTTAAATAAAAATTATTTATATAAAAATTTTATTTGTTAATAATATATTACTTGAATATTTAAATATATCATGTATTATTTTAATTTTAATTAATATTAAATTTTACATAATTTATGTAAAAATATATTAAAATTTTACATCAACATTTAATTAAATATAAATGTTTACATTGTGAAAATTCTTCATAAATATTCATAATAATAAAAAGATGTAAATTATTTTTGTTATCTAAGATATAATATTTATTATATATATAATAATTTATTTATTTATCTTTTATATTTATACTTAATTCTACATACTTTATCATTATTATTTATCTCATTAATTTATATTACAAAAACATAATTCAAATAAGTAAGAAAATATAACACTAAAAATCATATTGTCTATAATTCAAATATTTCTTTTCTATTTTATCATCTTTTCTCTATTTCTTCTACTGTTATCACTCAAGATAACATGAAAGTTCATTACATAAACCCTTGGCATTCACCGTTTCGGACAAATATTTTTATATTACTTATTTAAAGTTTAAAAATACTAATAGTTTAATGTTTTTTAACGATTTTGAATTAATCTTTTTTTTAATGGAATAAAGTATGCTCTTATATTTATTTATATTTATGAATGATTTACAACCACTATATTAATCGATTCTTGATTGATTTGGTTCGATTAAAGATCATATTAACAAGGAACCTAAAAAAGAAATTCAAAAGCCATAAAATAATTTGTTCATCCGTCTTTTTTTTATTTCAATTTTTGGTTTTTAAGTGCAGTTCTTCAGATTTCCAATTTTATAACCACTAGATCAGCCGACTCTCAATTGAATTGATTCGATTGATCGAATTAAAGACTATATTAACAAAGAACCTAAAAAGAACTTGCTCATCCGGTTTTTCCTATTTCAATGTTTGGTTTTGGTTTTGAAGTTGCTCACAACAATTCTTCAAATTTCCAATTTTAGACAGATGAACCCCCAAACCAGCCGATTCTCGATTGAACTGGTTCAATCGGTCGAATTACGACATTAAAATTTTAGCAACCCACATGATAATTACGTTACATTCAAAATTGGTTGAGAGCATCATCCAAATAGCATTGAGCTCGACACATACATGTATCTAACAGTAACATGTACCGGAGAAGCTTTTGCGAATTTGAAAATGCGAATGGCACCATCTATCAAAGACTTCCAATATTCACTACCGATAAGTTGCAGTGGCTGATCCAATACCCTGCTCTACTTGTCTATGTAGCACCATCTATCAAAGACGTCCAATATTCACTACCGATAAGTTGCGACACACATGAAAGCGATAACTCTTAACTATCAAAGATTGTATAATAGCATGAAGCTATCATGAAGCATAAACGGAATAAGAATATTATCCATGCAAGGAAAAGGTTTTCGTAACAAGATACTAACTGAAGAACTATAACAAGATACTAAGATTTGGCTTCAAATGACTACTACTATTATTCATACAAAATCTATCACGATTGAAATACCAAAATTATTTAGTAAGAACCTGCTCCCAGAGTTCTTCAGCCTCTTTGGTCCGACCATATATTTTTGCTCGATCAGATATTGTTATTGCCCAGTTGTAGAAAGCCTGTTGAGCAACAACATTGCAACAAAGTCAAGGAAAAAATATCAGTAAAAAATATATACTATACATACTCATCCATATATGGGAGAACATATATGCATTATGCATCTCTACACTTATTTTTCTTGTCTATCCAGCTTTTTATATGGCTTATGCATTCTGCATCTCTACACTTATTTTTCTTGTCTATCTAGCTTCTTATATGGCTTATGCATTCTGAGAAGTCATCATGCCCTTTGTAATTGAAAACGAACTTAAAAAATCATAAATTCTCAGTGAGTTGAACAATAACTCATACATCATGAAGTTTTGGGCAGAGATGAGTAGCCTCATCATACTTTTTACAAGCCTCCTCTAGCAAGGCATCTTTAGAAGGCGAAGTAGAATATGGACTAACATTATCTGCACTTTCCTGCAAGCTAAATAAGAATCGCATGGAAATAATGAGAAATCTGTAATATTTTGCAAAGATTACATCATGTTTACATTCACAAACTTAAGCAGCAAGTTCTAGCAATATAAGAATTGGACATGATATATCATTTTGAATGATGTTAAGATAGCTATATCAGAATGAACCAGTATCTCAAACCTGAAGAACCAATGCCCAGTTGTAAAGAGCATCATAATCTTCTGGGTTTCTTTCTAGCGCAGTAACATACCTACAAAATTTGACTTAAAATTAGTACTACAGAATAATAGAATCAAAGCAGCAACATATCAGGTTCAATATGAATAATAATAAGTGTGAAAAGTGTATAAAACAAGATGATGGTACCTCCTAGCAGCATATACAAAAATCCGTTGGCGAGAACTGCCTTCCTCATCAGTACCAGTGATATTATTGATCAACTCCATTACAACATTGTTTTGGTGGGATTGGCGTTGTCTGCTTTCTTGACTGAAGAATATATAAATCATGGAGTAGAAAATGATATCATTGTCGAGCAAAAGAAACATTATAAATACAAGAAGAAACAAGATGATACATATTTAGTTATTTACTCCTACAAGACCAAGAAACCTTTACTGCATGAATGGACCCATGAAAAATAATATAAACTGCATTCTACAGATTGTAAGATTGCAAAATCAAGGACTCCTCAATCAAAGTTATAGAAAGCGTACGATACAATTAATGCCGCACATGAAGTTGAGAACAAACTGAAGGCTCATATACAGCAAAACATATATGATTAGATTCTAACAATTAGGTTCAAGAGTAATGAAGACTGAGATCGGAGAACAGTCGCTCATCCGTGCAATAATTGAAGACAAACTCTTAGTCTAACAGAACGAGCACGCCTAGATGCATCTAGAAGTTTTTGTGAAATAGCCTAATTAAGGAGACGAGTCAACAGAGAATGCCAAAGATCAAGAGGTTTCTACATTGAAAGCTCGTTAGATTCAATAATGAATTAAGGAGAGTAAATTTTTTTAGCAACAAAGACTCGAAACGGATGAGGGGAAAGAGTACCGGTTCTCTTCATCTTTACGCAACCCCGGACGAGCAACTTGGTCGATGGTTGCTTGGATCGAGCTCTCTGTGTCCGGAGTCGGCTTCGGCTCGGCATCACTTACCCCGGCTCCGATTTCAATTCCTCAACCGGTTTCGTTTCTGATTGTAATTCAGGCAGAGATTCCACTTTCAAATCCGACTCCGGTTCGGGTAGTGGTTGGAAACCATTCTGAAGTTCGGATCCCTGAGTCGTTTCGGACATAGCGTTGAACGAGAGATTTCTGTTCTACGCCGAAACGGGATCGAAGAACAAAGAGAGAGAGAGAGAGCGAGAAGGCAAAAACAACAACGCTTGGGAGAAGATATCGCAAAGGCAAACGGGAAAAGAAGAGTATTTTAGCCCTTAACACACGGAAATAAAAGAATACCTATACTGAAGTTCGGATCCCTGAGTCATTTCGGATATAGCGTTGAACGAGAGATTTCCGTTCTACGCCGAAACAGGATCGAAGAACAAAGAGAGAGAGAGAGAGAGCGAAGGCAAAAACAACAACGCTTGGGAGAAGATATCGTAAAGGCAAACGGGAAAAGAAGAGTATTTTAACCCTTAGCACACGGGAATAAAAAAATACCTAACGAGTGTGGGGAATAACATTCCCTTGAATATTTATTATTGGGAAAGAAAAATTACCCTTACTTGGAAAAGAATACCTAATCAAACATGGGTATTCCTAGTCAAAAAAAAAAAATATTCCTGCCAGGAATCTTAAAATCCTTCATTCAAACGCCTCATAACTCGTTTCCATTATGAATTTTTTTTATAAGCTAATTTTTTTGTTGGATGGATGTTTGATGGTTTTTTTTATTTATATATATTGACGTTGCTTTGATGAGATCATCGAGTTCTGCTTCGTATGCATTGCAGCAATTGTTTTGTCTTTGTCATGATCACTGCTGATTAGGCCGCTGTGTGTTTCCGGGAGGAAAAGTGCACCTACACTTAGGGTGCATTTGATTCACGGAATGTAAGATTACCAGTGGGAATGTAATATTACCAGAGAATAAGATTATTGTGATTGTTATATTCTGTGTTTGGTTGGTTTAGTAAGAATGTAAAATTATCGTGTTTGGTTAAAGAAATAAAAGATTATTCTAATTTATATTTGATCAAATTGTCATTAATATATATTTATTTTTTTAACAAGTTGGAAAATATTTATATACTTTCTTTAAAAAATTTAAATTCATAAAATTTATATAATTTTTTTACAAAATTGAAAATATAAAAAAAGTTTAATAAAATGGTAAAATTTTATTTTAACCCCTGAACTTCATATAAAATTTTAATTATAATTTTTTTTTTGTAAATCTAAAATAGTTTAAGGATAAATTTATAATTTAACATTCGTAGAATTTTTATTATTCAATGACAGAATAAGGATATTTTTGAAAAAAAAAAATTAAGGGCATTTTAGTCCAAAACTCCGGTAATCCAACAATACCTAAGGAAATGGAGGTAATGACATTCCAGGTAATATACCCCAAAAAATCTACTATTGGTAATCTTACATTACCAGGAATGAGATTACCGGCTAACCAAATGGGAGAATGTGGATTCTATTCTCATGGGAATCTCACATTCTCCCATCCAAACGTTCCCTTAGGATTGAGGCTAGAACTCCTGCCATGGCCAAGGATATCCGCCACCCCCAACTTCCTTGGATCTTTTCGTTTCCAAAATTAATAAGGTTAGTGTTAGGAATCTGTGAACCGAAAAATAATTAAACCGATATTAACATAAAATAAAATATGGATACGAGATTTAACCTGGTAAACGAAGATGTATAACGAAGATGTAATGAGGTTAACGGTTGGCTATCAAATTTGCAGCAGCAGCTGATTTTGGTGACTTCATTTTGTTATATACTTGTGGAGAAAGGGATTCATAGATGTCACTCCACCTTCACAGAGTTAAAGAGATGGCCGTTACAACTATATCTTAAGACATACTAACAAGACATCAAAGATTATGGCCTGTTGTTTAGCTTCTTGTATGCACAAATTGATTTATATCACTTCATTTCTCTTGTTTGGTTTTAGTTTCAAATTGTGTGCTGTATCAGTTCATACTGACTTTTAATGTTTATGTTGATATCCATATAAGCATGTAAGATCAATAATTTAGCCATAAATTGTCAGCGGGAGAGAAGAGAGATGCAGACAAATTTTGCAGAGACAAACCTGAAATTCCACCATTCAATATTTAATCCATGGATAAATTACATGTTTGGTAACTGAACTTTATTCTCTCACCTATTTAACTCACTGGACTTTCAATTTTTTTCAATTTACTCACTGAACTTTATAGATTGAATTTTTTTATCACTCAGCTGTTAACTTTCTAACTGCGTTATGACATGGAAACTTACACTAAAACGATGTCATTTTAGATACCTACACAAAATTAAATTAATTCAAAACGACGTTTTTTGATTCCTTATAAAAACTTTTTTTTTCTCATTTCATCTTTATCATTCAAAATATTTTTTTCACAGAAAACACTAATTTCATTAAAAATAGAAAATATACAAATTATAATGAAAGTTTAGAACCACAACTCTAAACTAAACATATAATAAGAATATTTTTCTGAACACAATAAAATTAGTCACTTAAGGAAAATATTAAGAAAACCTAACTAAATAAACTAGAACAATAGATAAAAATGAATACATATGATTGCAAACGAACCACAAAAGTATACTATATATATCACACAACCTTTTCATATTATTTATTATATACTAAATATTCAAATGGCTTCATTAATTAGTATATCTGGTGTTGCCAATTTGGGAACGTGGGCTTGCCTTCTTTGCACATCAGGCTTTGGAGCCAATATGGCGGTGATGGTTGCAATTGGAAGTATTGTGCCGGTGATATGTGAAGGTGAAGGACGAAGGTCAAGAAAAGGTTGCCGTATTTTCTGATGCACTTAACCATGTCTCCATTGTTGATGGTCTTAGACTCGCTGATCGACTAGGAGGAGTAGGGCTGTAAATGAGACGAGACAGATCGCGAGTTACTCGAGATCGACTCGTTCAAGACTCGATAAATACTCGGATCGAATGGACTCGACTCGAACCCGAGCTCGAGCTCGAGCTCGGGTTCTTAACGAGCCGAAACGAGCTACTCGATATTCGACTCGAAAAGCTCGTGAGTAACTCGAAGAAAATGTTATATTATAATTTTAGATTTTTTAAAATTACATTATTAAAAATATATTAAAAATACATTATTGATAATTATAAAATTTTAAAAATATATTAAAAATTCTTTATCTAATGACAAATATTTAATATATTTCTAATAATAATATTTTTAATAACTAATTTTTTAAATTATTGTTATATTTTGAGGTTTCGAGTTCAAATATCATAAATATTAAGGGTTTGAGCATTTAATATCAAGATGTTATATTGTACTTACCTTATAAATCGGTACTAAGTCCATTAATTAATGTATTTGTAATGAACCCTAAACCTTAAACCCTAAACCCTAAACCCTTAATCCATTTATGTGATAGGGGTCAAGTTATGCACATGAAGGTAACATACAAATTATGCAAAATGATGTTATGTGACTCCTAAATAAATCATTCACATACTTATACATAAACATATCAATGTGGAAAATAAATATACACAGCTTGCTGATTAAGACATGATTTTATCATATCTTAATGATGACTATTGACACCGTCATTGTTTTTAAGCACTGACTCACCAATAATATTTCAAGAAGTGAATCGACGACATAATGTAAACGAAAATTTGATGTACAAATACAACTAAACGATGGGATCATAGTGTTCCATAGGAAGAAATACATGGATCACGGGATACTCTAGAACAACCGTATTTGGCTAATTGTTGCAGTGTTGGGGCCTTTATGTCGAACTCCCGAAAATTTCGATTCCAATTTACATATATTTGGAGCTTGTTAACAAAGATTCAATAAATTAATTACTAAAAAAATAATTGACATGTCAAATCTTGTCTACATGAAATAGACAATTCGGTTGCTTCATAATTTCTTGTCTCCTAGTTTTAATATTCGAACTGAAAAAAAAAGTTTCTCATACGGACTGCAATCTGCAGGGCAGAGCAGATTAGGAGAATCTGAATGATTTTTTTT